CATAAGATCCGAAAGGGCTATGATTTCTACAACATGGTGAGAGTCACATTCAATTATATGGGTGAGAATGTAATCAATGTGGTTAAGTGCAAATAAATAAGAAAATATACTTTTTGGATGTAGAATTGGAGATTTTAAGGTGATAGATTAAAATCCTCAATTTGGTCTAGTTGATTGGAAACTAATGCGAGATTGTTAGCTCTCAGGTGAGGGAGAAGTGGGAGCTCTAGAGTGAGAGTCGGTATCCTCCCAACCTAACCACGGAATTATGGATCAAACTTTGGATTAGACAATGTTCTTAATACACTTGAAAGAGGGTAAATAATATGATTGCTCCTATTTGACACAATACAATTATATATATATATATATATATATATATGATTTTAATTTCTTCACAATCCATATACTCATTATAAAGGGGAATGAACCTTTCTTAAATTTGGACTCTTCGTCACAGAAATATTGTTTAGTTTTTGTAAATTTATTTTTGAAGTTTAACAATCAGTTCGGTTAACTTAATTCTTTTAATTGCATTTTATATAACATACATTCAGTTACTTTAGATCTAAATTTCATACTTAGGGTTTGTAGTTTGAATTATGTGTTTTACATTATAGTTATCAGAATTTCTAACTTTCATGTGGAATCGATATTTAGGACTCCATTAAAACCCTTTATTACTTGAGCGATACATATACTTGCATTCTTATTATGGGTTTGACAGTTTAAAGATTTTAAAAAATAAAGTTATTTTTTTATTGGGATTGAATTGCATATTTATTATTTGTGCTGCCGTGTGTGTTTTGTAAGATTGAAAAATATTTACAAAAGCAACACGCAACAAACTCCCGCATCACCTATCTAATCCGTCTTCAAGACTATTCAAACTTTAAATTAGTCAATATTCTTTATAGCATCTCTAGTAAGGGTAAAGAATATTATTACAACACAATTTAAATACTTTCACAACAGAATTCCTATACTTGTTACTAATTCATGATAAGAAAAAAATATTTTATTTATATTGTCTTCATCTTGCAAATATTTAGTTAAGTTTAGTTAGTTGTTTAATTTACTTTCAATTATCAACAAAAATTACAAAAAAAAATCGAACTTTCATTCCTATTATAACATCTTTAATTTGAGTAAGAATATTTTGCAAAGTAGAATTTCTTATCTAACTTATTCTGATTTTAGTTGCATATTGTATTTTTTCGTGTGGGTTTGATATTTGGGGCTTAATCAAAAAGTCTTATATTACTTGATAACGATACATATATTTGCGTAATATCTCATATTTAAATATATTAATTGCATTATTATCTACTTTGAAGTCAAGTTTTTGGCAGCCGTTGCAAAGTTAGAAATATAAGTAAGGAAAATTAAGATTATAACTGCATACATCATACTGTCATATAAAATCGGGATCACTACCCCACCTCTACCATCAATTCAACCAATTACAACATGATCGAAACTCCATATAACATTAATGATATCTCAAGTCTCCTTAAAGTATGAGTTTTTTAAATATTTGAAGTTATCATTTTGGATGATATGAGCAACGTTACTCGGAAATAGGGGATAATTGATGTATCATAAATAATTTTTATCAAACATGACTCTCGATGCATTTTTAAGAAAGATATTCCAAATTCAAATTTAATATCATCTAAGCTCTAAGTTTAACAATTTTATAGGCAAACTAGCCATCTCAATAAGGCAAACCTAATGATACCAATTTTGGTTCAATTCAGGTCTAAACAAGCCTATTTAAAAGATTAAATATGATCAAGTGGGATCGATCAATAGGGACCATTCGATCAGATGGTTAGGGAAATCATTGATACGAACCAAATGTTGTGAATCACTGATAAATCTCGTAAGTATAAATGTCATTCAAGTAGTACAAGAAATAAAGCCTGTGTATCGATCCCATGATGAACGATTAAAATTTTAAAGTAAAAATTTTAGGAGACTACTTCTGAATCTAGCTTGAAAGTACAAAGTTTTGATGTTTTTAAATTGTCAAAAATCCCAATTTTAGAAATAGTAAAGCCTAAGCTAACAAAGTTTATTGATACTAGTAAATTTCTCCCCTTAATTAGTTTCATAAGAATCTAAGTTCAATTAAGTGATGCAAAATGCGGGTGACAATCAGGAACATAGCTTCTCCTTATCCCTTCTCAAATGTATACGAAGGTCTGACAATCATACAAGTTCAATTCCCTAAATCAATTGATTAGCCTTGGATTTTTTTTTCCTGAAAGGAGTGCACTAACCTAGAAGTAATATTCCTATTCTATTATGTCAATATGTTTTAAACTTGTTGTTTCACTATGGACTCTTCTAAAATTTAAAGATCACAACACATTTTAACTATCCAACTGACCAGAAAAAATGTAAATAAATAATTTAAGGTTAAAAACCACCTTAGATGAGATTCAATTAAATCACACAAGAAATCTAAACTTCACAATCATAAATCACAAATTTAAGGGAGAATAATAATTCTTCTCACTAATCATGCTTTAAATCAACAACATATTCATTTTACTAGTAAAAAATATCACAAACAAGAGTTTGAAAAAATTAAACCAGGTGAAATACTATAAGAAGATTGCAACTAGTTTCTCTTTCTCTCCAAATGTAATGTGAGATTACAAGCTCTTCCACATTAAAATAAGCTCACAATCACTCCACACTTCACGCTCTTGCACTTAAAACCTTTTGTTATGACATTTCTTTTCATTGATGTGTGCCTAAAATGAGCTTTGGGTGCTTAGGCACCTATTTTTAACACCTAAACGCCTGGGTCCTGATGCCTAGGCGTTGAGGTCAGGATGCATATTTTTCACCTTCAATGCATTGGGATAGAATTATGACACCATTGGTGCTTAGTCGCTCTGCTCTAGTGTCTAGACACTACTCCTATATTTTACTTGTTTCTTTGGTCAGCTCTGATGAATCTCTTTTGTTGATTCCTGCAAAATACATCACAAATATCTTCCAAAAGAGTAAAATTAACATAGAATCAAATTAAAATAAAACATATATAAGCACATTTCCAGCACATGTCAACTTCTGTTAAGCTTAATATTAATGACCATCAAATGATTTTAAAATATAAAATTAGAATATTGCAAAGTGTAATGGTGACCAATAATTAATTATTTGATGCTTCCTAATTCTATAGAAAATATATATTAGTAAAATTTGATTTGTATTTTCCTTCAAATTGAACTTCCAGAGTAACCCATCCTGATATAAAAAATAGTAATACAAATCTATATAATCATCCTAAAACAACTTATATGAAGCTTCATTAACATAAAATAAAAATCAACCATAAAATATAATTATCTATTCAACAAGCAGCAAAACTGGTATACTAAATTAGCAATAAAATACGATCCAAACATGAAATATTTTTTGATTTTTTCTTAACACAAGAAATAAAAAATTAACTTACAAAAATCATACAATACTACATTTTTCAAGTATAAATCTTAACAATTTGACTTCAATTTTTCTAAAATTGGAAATTTAACGCCGTTCCACAACAACGATGCCAAAAACATGATACAAACCAAATAATGTGAAGCAATTACTAATCATTGAAGTATACATACCATTCAAGTATTATACAAGTCCGTGTATCGATTTCATGAGGAACAAACAAATTCTCAAAGAGCAAATTTCTAAGCTACTAGTTTTGAATCTAGCCTTAAAGTACTAAGTTCTAATGTTTTTGAAAAGACACTAATTATAATTTAATATATAGTAAACCTAAGCTAATGACATATTTGTTTCATTAATAGAAAATATCACAAACAATATTTAAAAAGATAAAACCACTTAAAATAGCATAAGAAGATTGCAACTAGTCTCTCTTCCTTCTCCAAATAGAATGCTGACATTACAAACATGGTCGCACACTCACAAAATCTCATAATCACTCCTCACTTCACTCTCTTGCACTTGAAACATGTTGCTATGGTGTTTCTATTCACGTCGTGCACCTAGAATTCTTTGTTGTCTTTGGTGAAAAAATATTACATCAGTACTACACACGTAGAAGTAACGTGCGTAGCCAATGAAATCACACCACGATATGCCGCGCGACAGAGATACATCAGTACTACACACGTAGAAGTAACGTGCGTAACCAATGAAATCACACCACGATATGCCGCGCGACAGGGAAAAAAACGGCGCAGTAACACGGGGAATATTCCCCCCTGTGTTATTCATGTGTTATTGCGTGTAGGACACAATAACACATGAATAACACACAATAACACTTGAATAACACGGGAAATATTCCCAAAATAGAAAAAAAGGCACAGTAACACGGGGGAATATTCTCTCCCGTGTTATTCATGTGTTATTGTGTGTTATTCATGTGTTATTGACATGTTATTGTGTTATTATAACACCAAAAATATTTCTAGGACACAATAACACATGAATAACACACAATAGCACAAGAATAACACGGGAGGGAATATTCCACATGTTACTGTGTCATTTTTTTCTCTCTGTCGCGCGAGGTGTTGTAGCGTGATTTCATTGGCTACGCACGTTATTCTACGTGTCTAAACTGATGTAATATTTTTTCGTCTTTGGTAGAGCATTTTAAGGCTTCCACCGCAATTTAGCGCCCGTGAAACACTCAATCATCAAAATGCGTGAACTGTCGCCTATGATTAAATTTGAAGGCTTAAAATGATTTAATCACAAACACACACACATCGAATCCAAAATATTGCCCATTAAATTAAATAATTAAATATACTATTGATATTCTCCAATTTCCATCCTTATGCTTGATTAATAACTAAAATTAGATGAACTGGCTAACTAATAAGACAACCCAATTTGTTCCCGGGTCCAAAAGAACATAAAACGAACCTCACCCAGTCTGAAACCGCCTGTCGCCGACGGACGCCTCTTTTGCTCAAAGCCAGTTCCAAAATGTCCATTAATGCAAGCTTATGGCACTCACCTCGCTCCTCCTCTCCCACTACAAGAACCGCTTCGCCCTCTCCCTTCTCCTTCTCCTCCCTCTTCTATGCAGTCCCCCTCTCAACCTCTCTTATTCGCATCATCTTTTTACTCTCCCACCGCCACCGCCACTAGAGGTGGAACTTTCCATCCCTCCTTCCTTACCACCGCTGCCACCAGGAGAGGAATCTGCAGCGGACGATGAAGAGGATCGAGGAGAGGATGAGGACAATGCTTCTCATCTGTCTCCTCCTCCTTCGAAGGACCAACATGTTTCTAAAGCCGAACTTGCGGCATCGGCGACTCTGGAAACAGAATTTGCGGTGGTGGCTGATCAAGGGCGTGCTGCAATAAAAAGCAGGGTTGCAAAGAAGTGCGATTTTTACAGAGGAAAGTGGGTGATAGATGAGGAAGGGCGGTACCCGCTCTATGCTCCTGGGTCTTGCCCTTATGTGGATGAGGCTTTCAGTTGCCAGGAGAATGGGAGGCAGGATGACGATTATTTAAAATGGAGGTGGAAGCCTGACGATTGTGAGCTTCCTCGGTAAAAAGTTTTGATTCGTAAATTCGTTTTCTTTTTTTTTGATATGACCAAGGTTTTTAATGTTTGGAGCTTGTTGTAAGAAGAGAAGTTCATCTCTAAACTATTTTCTATGTTACTGCAACTGTGAGTAGTGGTGCTGTTAAACTTTAGGTGATGAAGTATGGTAACTTTTCAATGCTGCAAATGACCATTTGATTAAAGATGGTGTTGATGTCTGATCTTGACTGCGCAGAAAACTACTTTTGAGAAGCACTTAGAGTGATAGGGAAAGGGAAAAGGAAATTAGAAAGTTAAATAAAATTTAGTCTAGATTAATCTTCCGTGGGATCTCTTCAGTACAACACTAAACAAATTTTGCGTTACCTTCCCATCCCTCTTCCTTGCTAAATTTTAAGGATAAAACTATTCCCCTTTTTTTTTGATTGATGGAGGCTGTATTTATGGGCTTGAGAAGGGAGCAACGACTTTAAGTAATCACTTGCGCATGCCTATTACAAAAGCAATTGCGCCAGTAAATCCTTTTGAAATCCAAAATAACTTCTAGGGAACCTTTTTAAGGTTTTTCATATTTGCATACATCTTTAGGTAGGGTGATAAAATTTGATGCACCTTTGATATTCTCCCTCATTAGCATGAACCTGACTCAATACAGCTTCATTTGATTAAATTGTGTTTTTACCATGCAACACATGTCAATTCATATGCTTGGGGAAATTATAGAGAAGGTACATATGTAAAATGTAGCTTTTTTTTGCAGATTTCTCATAGAAATGATATTTTTTCAGAAGTTCAAGAAGAGAGAAGAGTTACCAAATAGTGCCAAAGTGGAAAAGTATGTGCTTAGCACAACAGGTGCTTATGCATGAAAATTTACAAAAGATATTAAAATTTCATAAAGATTGGGTTGGTCATACTACTTAAAAATATTTATTGAGGATAGGTTAAGTAAACACAATCAAATGTAGTTTTCATACAATCTATATGTTGCGGAGAATGCAACATCTTGGGTGATTGTTGCTTGTTGAAGTACTTTCAAAGAAAGGAGGCTTAGAAGTATCATGGTACTACTTTAAATTGCAAGTTAGAAGGTAAATCAATGAGAGAGAATGCTAGAAGAAAGTGCATGGTAAAAATATGATAAATGATGTAATCTCCATTCTAAAACTCCTGATCCTAGGGTGCACTTCAATGACAAGGTTTTATTTTTTTAACAGTAAAGATAATCTTTTTTCTTATGTGTACAAATCTTGCTTATGCTTAGCAAAGTAATTGTTTAACTTAAATTTGTGAAAAAGCAAGAGGAAGAGAAAAAAGATTAATAGTAGTATGGGTTACATAGCCATGGATAGAGCTTTTGAAAGAGCTATTGCGAATGGGATGATTAATAAACTTGTTGTAAGCAAGCTCAATAATAGGACATATGAATTGTGAATTTTTAATTTTTTTATTTTTGCCTACATAAATAGTAAAGATGTCCATCAACCTTTTATTTTTCTTGAGTTTACAAACCATAAAAACTTGTTTTGTCGCGTTCCATGACGATACCCTTGTTAAATGACTTGTGATGTAATAGATTCGTGTCACTCAATTGATTGAATATGCCGCTAACACTTGTTTTGCTATTTTACTTATCATAATTGAGTTGTTGATAAACTCAACCATTTAAATACACTTGAAACATTATAAAATATTCACTCAATCAACAAAATCAAGCGAAAGTAATTCAAAATATATTTTTTTTGCTCTATTGTATTTTATTTTGACTTTAAAATGTGAAAAATATGTCTGTCCATATTTACTGGCCATCTTAAGGTAGAGAGTTGAAAACTCACACCACAATACAAAGTTAAAACCCAACCCTAAAGTTATGTCATCAAAGTCAATATAACTAAGGTGGAACCCAATATTATCATTATTGAACTGCGTTGAGGACCCTTTTTCTTCCATTGGGGATTCTTTTGCCCCATCTGTGCAAGTTTCATAAACATATATTACCAATCTATCTCCTCTTAATATGACATTTCTTAAACTTAATGAATCATTTTTACAAATTTGAGATACCTTCATTTAAAAGTGTTATCAATTAACAAAATTATTGAATAAAAATATTGTATTTAATTATGAGCTTATATCATTCGAAATTTTTTTGTATTCATTTCCACATGAATAATATGTTGTAAACATACTTTTCTCACTATTAAATTATACCTATTACTCTAATTACCTATAAATGGGCTTGCAATAGACTTGAAACAAGTTTAATTTTTGTATTAGAAATTGCATATCTCACCTACTTAACTATTAACCCTTTTGAATTAAATGCCCTAATTTTTTTTTTTTGGAAAAAAAATCAATATTATTTCTCATCATACAAGCATGGAAACCGACCACAACAACTTGAAATTGATTCGTTAGAAAAATATCAAAATCCAAAATTCAAATCAAATACTTTCTTTCTTAATTTAATTATTTTTTATCCTCTTTTCCATCTTCTTATTTCCTTCTTCTCTTCCTCACATTTCTTCCTTTTTCTCCTTTTTTTCTTCTTTTCCATTTTTTCCTTATTTTTCTTTAGCCTGCTCTCAGTTTTAACTCTCTGTTACAAGTGAAAGGGAGAGTTACGACATGGAGAAATGATGGATATTTTAAATTGCTAAGCGTATAACTTTATTATGCATGTATATGCAAATATATTTTTAATTTAAATTACCCTTAATTTTCCTAATGATATGATTCACATCCACAATTGCATGCCTAATAAAGAGGAAAAAAATCCACCTCAAGCTACTGTAACTCATAAATAGTACAACAGCAAACAACAACAACAAAACCTTTATCCCACTAAGTGGGGTCGGCTACATGAATCCTTTTTGTCCATTGCGTCCTATTTAGCGTAATATTTTCATTTAATTTTAATAAATTAATATCATTTTTTGTACAATATGTTCAAGTTTTCATAGGTCTATTTTTGACTTTCTTAACATAGTCAAATTTAAATCATCTGCTCTTCTAATCGATCATCAGATGGTCGACATTTAATGTCACCAAACCATCTAAGACGACTCTTTCTAATTTTGCCCGTCACTAAAGTTACACCAACCCTATCACGAATATATTCATTTCAATTTGTCTCTAAGTGTAAAGCCACTCATCCACCTAATCATTCTCATCTTGACAACACTTAACTTAATTTTATGGTTCTCTTTTAAAGGCCAACATTCAACGCCATAGAGCATTGCAGGTCTCACCACCATCTTATAAAATTTTCCTTTGAGTCAAAGCAGTATTTTTCTGTCACACAATATGCCCGAAGCATTCCTCCACTTCAACCAACCAACTTGAATTCTACTAATAACATCCCCATCAATATCACCATCACTTTGAACAATAGACCCGAGATATCTAAAGCGTTCACACCTTTTAATAATTTGATCACTCATAGCTACATTTCTGTCACTATAGCTACTACTAAAATTACATTCCATGTATTCAGATTGAGTTCTACTCAAACGAAGGCCTTTAGACTCCAAGGTAGACCTCCATAAATCAAGTTTTTCCCGAGTATTTTCTCTCATCATATCCACGAAAATGATATCGCAAAAGCATACACCAAGGTAAATCCTCCTGTAAGTGTCCGGTAAGACCATCCATAAATAAAGCAAAAGGATATAAGCTTAAAGACGATCCCTAATGTAAACCAATAGAAATAAATATTTGGTCAATCCTCATTCTATTTGAACACTTGTAACAAATCTTGTATGCATATCTTTAATAACTTGAATATAAGTCGTATCAACACCTTTATTCTCAAGAACTCTCCAAAGGATTTTTTTTGGAACCTTATTGTAAGATTTTTCTAAATCAATAAAAATCTTATGTAGATCCTCCTTATTATCTCTGAACTTCTCCTTCAAACCTCTCAATAAATGTATAACTTCCATAGTAGACCCGCCCAACATAAATCCAAATTGATTATGAGAAATCTTTGTAATATGTCTTAACCTATGTTCAATTACCCTCTCTCATAAATTTAAAGTATGACACATCAACTTAATTCCTTTATAATTTGCACTTTTGAGCATTTCTTTATTCTTAAAAATGAGGACCAAAATACTTTTCCTTCACTCCTCAGACATCTTAATTTTTAAAATAATATTAAAGAGTTTAGTAAGCCAAGAAACTCCCAAATCTTCTAAATATTTCCACATTTCAATACTACAGATTTTGTACCGTTGGTTTTCCTTAAATCCTCGGTAACTTCTTTTTTTATTAAAGTAACGGTAAAAATGAAACATTTTATAATTATTAACGATATTAAGATCACGTAGGTTGATCGTATTTTATGAAACTTAATTTAAAAAATTATTAAAATAGCTTACCTGCCTATGTTGAATATTTTTTTCTAAATTTTCATCTTTAATACACTTTACTTGAGTTAAATCTTTACTTTTCTTTTCTCTTTATTTGGTTAGTTTATACATATATTTTTCATCCTTCTTAGTTTTTAATCTATTATAAAGATCACTAAAAGCAGAAATTTTAGCGTCAAAGATTGTTCTCTTAGACTCTCTACGGGCTGTATGATATTTTTCTCAGTTCCCTAAGTTTTTACATTTAAACCAATTTTTATAGCCTAGCTTCTTATATTTTATCTTTCATTGGATATTATTATTCCACTACCAACTATTCTTATTTATAGAAATTTTTTCTTTTGATTCTCCAAGTATAAATTTGTCCACTTGTTTAACTTTGACAAATTATGTCAAATGGAAACCAATTCCATTACATCCACGTCTCTAAAAATTAAGACATATTTTCCTACATCAAAATGATCGTTTCGAAGTGAAGAATGCAATGGATGATTTTTGATGACTTTCAAAAACGTTGAAAATGTGTGGTATTATTTATTTTGGGTATTTTGCGCTTGTACCATATCAAACTTTGGGTATAACATGTTCTATACTCGTAGATTATAAGAACTTAACCATTGTGAGCAACAT